ACACACACACACACACACACACACAGTGAGTTCTCACTTACTGCGGTAACACTTGCTCAACGACGTTCGTAGACCCATGTACACTGAGCAGAACTGTTGCTTAAGATAAATCAACTGAACTCTCCAGTCCTCTATTCCTGACTGTGTCCACCGCCTGAATCACACATCCAGCTTCAGTTATCTTCAGTCTGAGACTAATCTTCATCTTTTCTGTGTTTAGTGAGTTAAAGAAACAAATGATAAACATTGGTCTGTGTCTGCCAATGAAGAAAACGTCAACTCTGAACTGTTATTAACCCTGTTATCCTCGACTCTGTTATCCTCCACTCTGTTATCCTCGACTCTGTTATCCTCAACTCGATTCTGTTATCCTGGACTCTGTTATCCTCCACTCTGTTATCCTGGACTCTGTTATCCTCAACTCTGTTATGCTGGACTCTGTTATCTTCCACTCTGTTATCCTCAACTCTGTTATCCTCGACACTGTTATCCTGGACTCTGTTATCCTGGACTCTGTTATCCTCGACTCTGTTATCCTCCACTCTGTTATCCTCCACTCTGTTATCCTGGACTCTGTTATCCTCGACTCTGTTATGCTGAACTCTGTTATCCTCCACTCTGTTATCCTCCACTCTGTTATCCTGGACTCTGTTATCCTCCACTCTGTTATCCTCGACTCTGTTATCCTCCACTCTGTTATCCTGGACTCTGTTATCCTCGATTCTGTTATGCTGAACTCTGTTATCCTCCACTCTGTTATCCTCCACTCTGTTATCCTCCACTCTGTTATCCTGGACTCTGTTATCCTCCACTCTGTTATCCTCAACTCTGTTATCCTGGACTCTGTTATCCTCCACTCTGTTATCCTCGACTCTGTTATCCTCGACTCTGTTATCCTTGACTCTGTTATCCTGGACTCTGTTATCCTCCACTCTGTTATCCTGGACTCTGTTACCCTTGACTCTGTTATCCTGGACTCTGTTACCCTCGATTCTGTTATCCTCGACTCTGTTATCCTCCACTCTGTTATCCTCCACTCTGTTATCCTGGACTCTGTTATGCTGAACTCTGATATCCTCAACTCTGTTATCCTCAACTCTGTTATCCTCGACTCTGTTATCCTCCACTCTGTTATCCTCCACTCTGTTATCCTGGACTCTGTTATCCTCCACTCTGTTATCCTCGACTCTGTTATCCTCGACTCTGTTATCCTGGACTCTGTTATCCTGGACTCTGTTATCCTCCACTCTGTTATCCTCGACTCTGTTATCCTCCACTCTGTTATCCTGGACTCTGTTACCCTCGATTCTGTTATGCTGAACTCTGTTATCCTCCACTCTGTTATCCTGGACTCTGTTATCCTGGACTCAGTTATCCTGGACTCTGTTACCCTTGACTCTCTTATCCTGGACTCTGTTACCCTCGATTCTGTTATGCTGAACTCTGTTATCCTGGACTCTGTTATCCTGGACTCTGTTATGCTGAACTCTGTTATCCTGGACTCTGTTATGCTGAACTCTGTTATCCTCGACTCTGTTATCCTCGACTCTGTTATCCTCCACTCTGTTATCCTCCACTCTGTTATCCTCCACTCTATTATCCTGGACTCTGTTATCCTCCACTCTGTTATCCTGGACTCTGTTACCCTTGACTCTCTTATCCTGGACTCTGTTACCCTCGATTCTGTTATCCTGTACTCTGTTATCCTGGACTCTGTTATCCTCAACTCTGTTATCCTCGACTCTGTTATCCTCGACTCTGTTATCCTCCACTCTGTTACCCTCGATTATGTTATGCTGAACTCTGTTATTCTCCACTCTGTTATCTTCGACTCTGTTCTCCTCGACTCTGTTTGATTAAAGTTGGAGCTAAATTGTGCAGGACACCGGGCCTCCAGAACCGAGTTTGCCCATCCCTGCTCTGTAGAGTGTGTTGTTTCTGACACTGCATGCCTGCATCCTGATACTATTGTGTGGATCTGCAGTGTTTGTTCCTCCAGCAGGGGGCAGCACTGCTGTACTGCTGATCATCTAAAGTACAGAATATACAGTGCGTGTCTCTCTCAGACACTACTAGTGTGAAAACAGCTACATCGAGTATTATCACCATATCATTGCTTGACGTGCATATTTTAGTCAGTCAGGAGCGGGTGACTCAGAAATGAGAAGTAATTTTATATTTTAAAAGTCATTTTGTCAATACCACTGAGATCCATGCAGAACATCTGTGCAGTGCAGATATTGTATAAACACATGCTTCAGATGTACAGTACAGCTGAGATCTCAGCACTGCAGTTTGTTTCATTTATAGCTATATATATATATAATAAAATTATACATTCTCATGTTCTCATTATTTATTCATTCTCCTTCAGCTTACTCCCTTATTATTCAGAGATCGCCACAGAGGAATGAACCACCTACTATTCCATCATATGTTTTACACAGTGGATACCCTACTAGCTACAACCTAGTATTGGAAAACACCCAAACACACTCATTCACTCACAAACACACTCATACACTATGGCCAGTTTAGTTCATCACTCGGAGGAAACCCAGGCCAACACTTGAATGACTGAATCAGACTGTCATGAACAGAATTATATTTAACTGATATGAATGGGATTGGGTTTAACTTAACTAAACTGAACTGAGTGCAGAATGGATCTGAACACACACCTGAACTCAACCAAGGCTGAATAAATTATATTGAATTGATCTGAACTGCCCTGAACTGAATAGAACCAGACATGAGTGAACTCTTCTGAACTGAACTGAATATATCTACTGACTTAAACTGAGGTTTACAGAAACAAATTAAATGTCATTGAAGAAAACCAAACTTAATTAAACAGAACTTAAGTGAGCTGAAATAGAATTGGATTAACTAGAATTGAATTAAACTTGCCTAATTTGGATTGTTCTAAGTTTAATTGACTTAACCAAATTGAATCGGATTGAAGTGAACATGCTGAGCAGAATTGAACTGAATCTTTACTGACTCACTAACTCACTAGAACTGAACTGTACATTTACTAAAGTCACAATAAAATAAACTAAAATGTATTTATTTGAACTGACTGAAATTGAACTAAGCCTAAACTGAACTGAGGGAGGCATAGTGGCTCAATGGTGTCACACTGTGGCCCAGCAGCAAGAAGGTCTCTGGTTTGAGTCCCGGCTGGGTCAGTTGGTGTTTCTGTGTGGAGTTTGCATGTTCTCCCCGTGTTGGCGTGGGTTTCCTCCGGGTGCTCCGGTTTTCCCCACAGTCCAAACACATGCGCTATAGGGGAACTGATCAACTAAACTAACCGTAGTGCATGAGTGTGTGTGAATTAGTGTGTATGGGTGTTTCCCAGTACTGGGTTCCTGATGGAAGGGCATCCGCTGTCTGTGTAAAACATATGCTGGAATAGTTGGTGGTTCATTCCACTGTGGTGACCCCTGAGAAATAAAGGAACTAACCAAAACAAATTGAAACTGACCACAACTGAATAAAACACACACACACACACACACACACACATAAATCATGCATGGTCAGTTCAATTCAATTAATTTTAGATCAACTGAACTGAACTAAACTAAATTAAACTTGCTCAATGAGTGTTGAGTGAATCTCTCTCTCACTCTCTCTCTCTCTCTCTCTCTCTCTCTCTTTCTGGCTGTCTATCTCTCTCTCTCCCTATGAGTGTGTGTGTGTGTTATTCTGTAGAGCTGCACTGTTCACTGATCTCCAGCCTGTTCTACATCACCGCCGTGTTTACACACTCTACACACGCCTGACCATCAGTAAGTGTGTGTGCCCGACACAGAGAGAGAGAGAGAGAGAGAGAGAGAGAGAGAGAGAGAGAGAGAGAGAGAGAGAGTGAGTGTGTGAGTGAGTGAGTGTGTGAATGGGTTTCTTCTGTGTGTGTGTGTGTGTTAGCGCCGGGGTTGTGCTGTAGTGAGTGTTTGCGATGCTCTCCTCGTAAACTCCGCGTTATTGCGGAATCAGGTGTGTTATTATTGATGTACGTTGTATTCTGGTGTGTGAGAGAGAGAGATCTCATGAATATGTGTGTGAAAGAATGAGAATGTGTGTATGGGTGAGTGTGTTTACGTTGTTGTGTTTAGTCAGATTGCTGTTAGCATTAGCTTTAGCATCAGGCCTGTTAGCCGCGCTTCACTGCTCATTTTATTTCATTTCTGCTTTAATTGAGGATTTATAATTTTTATGTATATGCCACTGATTATTATTTAACAATTCCCATCATTGTATGTGTGTTTTATAGAGTATGGCGTCAATATATATGTGTGTGTGTGTGTGTGTGTTTTAAAGCTAACAGCGGCTATCGAGACTCCGCCGCCTCTCATCCATATAACGTTATTAATTATTTTGATTTCACACTGAGCTCATTCCACTTTTAACCTTCATCTATCTGATTTCTCAATTGTAAGTCTGCTTTTAGCCCTAATCTGCAGGAATGCTCCTCTGTCTTGCTGATTTACTCGGTTTCTTGAATTCACGCCCCATCTGTGTGATTTGTACACCTCTGACAGGGTTTACCTCAGTCTTACTCTATTTTCCATTCATGTTGGTGAATTCCGCTCCAACCTAGCCGTGATCTGACTGAAAGTGCTCTTCTTCTGACTCTATTCAGTTCATTTGTGCAGAGTTTACTCCATGTATAAATGATTGTACTGTATCTGACAGAGTGCACTCCTCCTCTGTTTACTCATGTGTTGTGTATATTACTCCAGCATCTGACTGATTTACTCCTGTATGACTCAGTTCAGATTTGTCTGGAGTTCGCCTCAGTTTTGTTTGTGAACTTTACCTTTACGGCTTGACCCTCATCTGAGTTTACGCCATTAGTCATTATTCTACCCTGATTTTGCACCTCGTCTGCATATTCTTATATAGTTTTTTGATTATTATTGAGACTTCGTCTGGCAGATTTTGTCCTGTTTACAAATTGCACCATTAACTGATTTTAACTCAGTCTTTAGCCTGTTTTCGCTGTATTTTCCTTCTTCTGACTGTATGTATTCTACCCTCTATCCTCTGACTGTATCTGTCTTCCTCTGACTGATTCATATCATATCTGTCTGTATTTACCCATGACAAACTGATTTCACACTTTGTTCACCCTCGTCTTATTGTAATAACCCCTCGTCTGACTGTATTTACCCTTTTCTTTATTTTGCACCTGGTCTGCCTGTAATTAGCCCTCTGACTGATTTTATATATCTTTAGACTGTAATTGCTCCCGTATATACCATCCTTTCACAGATTTTTACTCCTCTTTTAATTGTAATTAATCCTAGGTTTATTCTTATCTTACTGTATTTACCATCCTCTGATTTTACCCCTCATCTGACTGTATTTTTCCTCCTCTGATTTTACATATCTTTGGACTGTAATTGCTCCTGTATTCCCCCTTCTCTGACTGATTTGTACACCTCTTCTGACTGTAATTACTCTGATTTCCCCTCCTCCACTAACTGATTTAACATATGTCTGGATTATAATTACTCCTGTTTATATATATCCTCATTTGCCTGTAGTACTCATTGTTTGGCTGTATTTACCCTCTTTCAACTATAATTACCCCAACTTTATGTATCATCATCTGACTGTATTTCTCCACATCTGACTGTATTTCTCCACATCTGACTGTAGTACTCCTCATTTGACTGTATTTACACTCTTTCAACTATAATTACTCCACCTATATTTATCACCATCTGACTGTAGTACTACTTATATGACTGTATTTACGGTCCTCTGATTTTACACCTGATCTGACTGTATTTCCCCTTGTCTGACTGATTTTACATATGTTTGGATAACAATTACGTCTGTGTTTATCCTTATCTGCCATGTTGTACTTATTGTTTGACTGTATTTAACCTCTTTTGACTGACCTTTTTTGAATGTAGTTACTCCACCTATATTTATCCTCATCTGACTGTAGTACAGTAGTTTGACTATTTACCCTTTCGACTGTAATTACTCCACCTTAATGTATCTTTATCTGACTGTATTTATCCTCATCTGACTTTACTCATCGTTTGACTGTATTTAGTATTTACCCTTTCGACTGTAATTGCTCCACTTATATTTATCATCATCTGACTGTAGTACAGTAGTTTGACTATTTACCCTTTCGACTGTAATTACTCCACCTTAATGTATCTTTATCTGACTGTATTTATCCTCATCTGACTTTACTCATCGTTTGACTGTATTTAGTATTTACCCTTTCGACTGTAATTGCTCCACTTATATTTATCATCATCTGACTGTATTTATCCTCATCTGATTGTATTTATTCACATGTGACTGTACTCCTCGTTTGACTGTAATTCCTCCACCTATATTTACCCTCATCTGTCTGTATTCACCATATTCAGATTTTGCTATCTTGTTGTGTTTACCAGTGGTTGACTGGTTTTACCTCTCGTCTGACTGTATTTTCCTTGTCTGATTTTGCACTTGTTTTGACTGTAGTTTCTCCTCATATAATTATCTACATCAGAATATGAATTACCCCTTGTCCGACTGTAGTTACCCTCTTGATTGATTTTACACCTCTAATACTAATGGATTACTCCTCCTGTATCTGTGCTCATCTGACCTTATTATCTGTTTTCTGATTTTTCACCACGTTTGACTGTTTACCCTCCTCTGACTGATTTTACACCTCTTGACAGTAATCGCTCCCATTTACAACCTCATCCCACTGTTTTTACTGTTACCTGATTTTACGCCACATCTGCCTGTATTACTCCTTAACTGATTGTAGTCTGTATATCTTTAAACTGTTATTACTCCTCCGGTACTCTTATCTGACTGTATTTACCATCCTATCATTTTTACACCTCATCTGACTGTATTTCTTCTCAGCTGATTGTATTCTGTATATCTTTTGACTGTAATTACTCCTCCGCTATTTATCCTCATCTGACTGTATTTACCATCCTATTATTTTTACACCTCTTCTCCCTGTAGTACTCCTCATCTGACTGTATTACTCCTCGTTTTACTGTATTTACCCTCTTATGACTGATTTTACATCTCTCTTGATTGTATTTACTTCTATTTTTACCTAATAATTTATTTATTTATTACTCATCATCTGCCTATAGTACTTCTCATTTGACTTTATTACTCCGCACTTGACTGTATTTACCATCCTATGATTTTTACACTTTTTCTGACTGTATTTACACCTCATCTGCCTGTAGTACTTATCATCTGACTGTATTTACACCTCATCTGCCTGTAGTACTTATCATCTGACTGTATTTACACCTCATCTGCCTGTAGTACTTATCATCTGACTGTATTTACACCTCATCTGCCTGTAGTACTTATCATCTGACTGTATTTACACCTCATCTGCCTGTAGTACTCCTCATCTGACTGTATTTACACCTCATCTGCCTGTAGTACTCCTCATCTGACTGTATTTCTGTAAAAACTCCTCCGGTATTTTTATTTGACTGTATTTACCGTTTTCCCAGAGATGGGTTGCGGCTGGAAGGGCATCCACTGCGTAAAAACTTGCTGGATAAGTTGGCGGTTCATTCCGCTGTGGCGACCCCGGATTAATAAAAGGACTAAGCCGACAAGAAAGTGAATGAATGTATTTTAGCGTTTCCTGATTTCACACCTCATCTGACTGTATTTCATCTTAGCTGATTGTATTCTGTATATCTTTTGACTGTAATTACTCCTCCGCTATTTATCTTCATTTGACTGTATTTACCGTCCGGTATTTTTTACACCTCATCTGACTGTATTTACCTCTCATCTGCATGTAGTACTCCTCATCTGACTGTATTACTCTGTTTTACTCTGTTTGACTGATTTTACACCTCTCTTATATGTAATCACTCCCGTTTTCAACCTCAAATGACTTTATTCACCGTTTCCTGATTTTACACCTCATCTGACTGGATTACTCCCAGCTGTATTCTGTATATGCTTCGACTTTATTTATCCTCATCTGACTGTGTTTACCATACTGTGATTTGTACACCTCATCTGACTGTATTAATCTCTCGTCTGACATCTTTCTTTCTCATCTGACTGTAGGGCTGCACAGTTTGAACATCGATATGGCAATGTGTGAATCTGCAAGAGTCACATTAAATTATTTATTAAAGATTAAAAGATAAAGATATAATTATTTTAAAGTAATTTATACAACGATGACCATGGTACTTTACATTTGATTGTTCAATTTCTGTAATTGATTACTGTTAAGCTCTCCAGTAATGCATAGAAACAGACTTGATCATCCCAATCTATCAAAGTTAATGAAATGATTTTATTCATAGTCAAATATATGTACGTCAAAAATTTCGCAATATCGTGCAGCCCCCCTATCTGACTGTGTTTACCTCTGTCTTACTTGATTTCCCTTACATCTGCAATCATCTGAAGTGTGTGTGTGTGTGTGTAGGTCAGCTGTAGCGATGGCTGTAATCCGCCACTGAGAGTTGCTGTGGTCTGCAGGATGGTGTGAATCTGATTATGTGCGGCTCTGTGATAATCTGAGACAGATGTGTGTGTGTGTGTGTGTGTGTGTTTCAGACGGCTCTGGCATTTTATCTGATGTGTGTGTGTCTGTGTGTGTCTGCAGCTGCCGGTGTCCGTGTATGAGTGAAGATGCATTAGAGACGCCTGTGTTCCTCACGGGACCTCCGTCTCGCTGTACTGTCGAACCCTGAGCCCAAACCCCGGTGGTGTCCGCTGTGCTCCAGAACCATGTGAGGGCTTTCTGATGCATCTGTGAGTGGACTGGAGCACTGCCTGTAACCCCGCCCCAGTTTATACAAGGCCCGCCCCTCCCTTCAGCCCCGCCCC